TAAAGAGGGGCCTTTCTGGCACAAGAACGGATCCCTTAGGAGCCATGGAAAGCCCATTGCACCCCTAAACACAACAAAAAACCTTAATTTAGCCTTCTCCACTGACACCTATCACACTCGCCTCTCTGGGGATCCAGTACCTGGGTCACCTGCCAATCAGGAGACAGCTCAACTCATCGGCACCACTGCCAGTCAGAAGAGAGCTCTTCTAATTGGTGCCACCTTACATTTCTGAAGTAATGTGCGGCTTGGCATTTGAGCAACACTTTGCTGTGCTTCAACTGAGCTTCAGTACTTACCTGTATCCCCTCACTTCTTGTGTCCTCTGTGCTTGTCTGCAGACTGTAGGTGCCTCCAGTAAACTGACTACAGTGTGTCCAGTATGATCAGTGCCTCCAGTATGCTCCCAGTCCATGTGTACTCATATGGCTACAGTGTGCCCAGTAAGATCAGTGCCTCCAGTGTACTCCCAGTCCATGTCTTCTAGTGACTCAAGTGTGCCCAGTATGTTCAGTGCCTCCAGTGTACTCCCAGTCCATGTGTACTCAAATGGCTACAGTGTGCCCAGTATGTTCGGTGCCTCCAGTACACTCCCAGTACACGTGTACTCAGATGACTACAGTGTGCCCAGTATGTTCAGTGCCTCCACTATGCTCCCAGTCCACATGTGCTCAAATGGCTACAGTGTGCCCAGTATGTTCAATGCCTTCAGTGTACTCCCAGTCCACATGTACTCAAATGGCTTCAGTGTGCCCAGTATGTTCAGTGTCTCCAGTAGATTTCCAATCCACATGTCCTCTAGTGACTACAGTGTGCCCAGTATGTTCAGTTTCTTCAGTACATTCCCAGTCCACGTGTCCTCTAGTGACTACAGTGTGCCCTGTATGTTCCATTTCTCCAGTGCATTCCCAGTCCACATGTCCTCTAGTGACTACAGTGTGCCCAGTATGTTCAGTTTCTCCAGTACATTCCCAGTCCACGTGTCCTCTAGTGACTACAGTGTGCCCAGTATGTTCCATTTCTCCAGTGCATTCCCTGTCCACATGTCTTTAAGTGACTCCAATGTTTCCAGCATGCTCAGTGCTTCCAGTGCATTCCCAGTCCAAAGTTATTCAAATGACTAATGGGTGCCCAGTATGCTCAATGCTTTCAGCACATACCCAGTCCACAAGTCCTTTAGTGACTACAGTGTGGAGCTTCCTCACTCTCATTCTCGTGGCCCTTTTCAGACTCTAACCCAGGCTCTCTCTTTGGTAGGTCCTCCAGTTAAGCCTAGCTGGAACCTTGACTTCTTCTCAAAGGACTCCTTGGCCCATCTGACCCATGGGCAAGGCCCCCAGCACTGGAGTCTCTTCCAGCAGGCTAACCCCTAGAACTCTCTCTAGGCTGCCAGACCTCAGAGTATTTATGGGCTTTCCCTCCACTTACTGGGCATGTCTCCTCAAGGATTGGCTGGAAACCCATAAAAATTCAGGTTGCCTGTCCTGCTCATCCTCCCACTATATTTCTAGAACTCTCCAGAAGACAGGGGAAAGTAGCAGACCAGAAACCTGTGAGACCCTGATCAGCTTCTAGCAATTAACCCCTAATCCTCTGCTTACAAAGGAGCTAAACTAAACTTTCCTTCCAAAACTTGGAGGGTTCTACATCAGTGATAATGACAGTGGAGGTAAGGAAGACCTCTCCCATGTTGGAGTCAGTTGCTGATTGTGTCGCATCTTTGAGACAATTCTGCAACAAAACTTTCCCCCGAAAGTGATATTTGATACATTTCTGTTACTCTACCGGCTTCTCCAAATAGCCTTTAAAACTCTGTGAAATTGTACAGAAAAATGAAAAGAATGGACTTTGATTATACCGAACCAGTGTTATAGAACACGAAATATTACAATGTGACATAAACAGTGCTTGAGGACAAGTTACAGCCATCCCCTGCCGTGTTTGCATTTCCAGCTTGTATTCTTTTAGGTGAGCTTTACACTGGAGAGGGAAAATATCTTTGAATTAATAGTGACCTAGTTACTCTTACACAATGGTGGAACATTTTATTATTCAAAATAATTCAAATTCAGCAGAAAAATACTAAATCATATGTGTCACATGTAATGTTCTAGACATAAAAGCTTCTATCGCCTTGTCTATGTGTGTTGCGGTTTCGTGCCGCTTCTTCAGGACATCGGTTTGATGTAGTTTACATAAAAGACGCAGTAAGAACAAATATATTTCATCTGAAAATAGAATATAACAGAAGTATACAATAAACACAAATCCTGCTGGATGATATTGGTACTGAGCACAGCAAAGGGCAAAGGAAACGAATAACAAACACAAAGAAACATGCAAACAATAAAACTCACCTATTAGATTACTTTTATTGTTTGCATATGCTTGTTTTTGTTTGCTTTTCTTTCTTCCTCTTCCTCTTCTTCTTCCTCCTTCCTTATTTTTCTTTTGTTTTCCTCCTTCTTCCTTCCCCTTCCTCCTTTCCTTTGTTTTCCTTCCTCTTCCTTCTTCCTGCTTTTTTTTCCTTCTTCTTCCTTACTATTCCTTCTTCCTTCCTCTTCCACCTTCTTCCTGCTTCTTCCTTCCAACTCCTTCTTCCCTCCTCTTACTCGTCTTTTCTTCTACTTCTTCATCCTTCTTCCTTCATTTTCCTCATTCTTTCCTTCTTTTTTCTTCTTGATTCTTCATTCTTTCTTTTTCCATCTTCTCATTCCTTCCTTCTTCCTCCTCTTCTTCTTCTTTTCTCCTTCCTTCTTCCTTCCTCCTTCCTTCCTCCTTCCTTCTTCCTCCTTTTTCGTTCTGCTTCCTTCTTCTTACTTCTTCCTTCTTTCTTCTTCTGTCTTCTCTTTCCAAACTTCTTCTTATTTCTTTCTTATTCCTTATTATTTCTATTTTCTCGTTTTTCCTCTTTCTCTCCTTCTTCTTTGTCCTTCCTTTCGTCCTTCCTCTTCCTCCTCCTTCCTACTCCTTCTTCCTCCTTCTTCTTGCTTCCTTCACTCTCCTTCCTCTTCCTTCTTCCTTCCTCTTACTCGTTCTTCCTACTTCTTCCTCCTCCTTCCTTCATTTTCCTCATTCTTTATTCTTCTTCTTTCTTTGATTTTTTTTTTCTTCTGCCATCTTCCATCTTCTTCCTTCCTTCCTTCCCCTTCCTCCTTTTCTTCTCTCTCCTTCCTTCTTCCTCCTTTTTCCTTTTTTTCCTCTTCTTCATATTTCTTCTCTTTTTCTTCCTTCTTCCTCCTCCTTCCTTCTCTTTCCTTTTTTCCTCCTTCTTCCTTCCCCTTCCTCTTTCTTCCTTCTTCTTCTCCTTCCTCTTCCTCCTTTTTCCTTCCCCTTCCTCCTCTATTTCTTCCTTCTTCTTCCTCCTTCCTCTTCCTCCTTCTTCCTCTTTTTCCTTCCTACTCCTTCTTCCTTCCTCTTCCTTCCTTCTTTCTGCTTTTTTCCTTCTCCTTCCTTCCTACTTCTTCTTCCTCTTCCTCGTTGTTTCCTTCTTTCTTCTTCCTCCTCCTTCCTTCATTTTCCTCATTCCTTCCTTCTTTTTCTTTCTTCTTGATTCTAATTCTTTCTTCTGCCATCTTCTTATTCCTTCCCTATTCCCCTTCCGCTTTCTTCTTCTTTTCCTTCCTCCTTCCTTCTTCTTCTCATTTTTCCTTCTGCTTCCTTCTTCTTCCTTCTTTCTTATTCTGTCTTCTCTTTCCAAACTTCTTCTTATTTCTTTCTTATTCCTTCTTCTTCCTATTTCTTCCTACTTTCTCTTCCTTATCCCTTCCTCTTCCTCCTCTTTCCTTCTTTTCTTTCTTTTCTTCTTCTCCTTTCCTTCTTCTTCCCTTCCCTCCTTTCTCTTTCTTCCTTCTGCTTCTCTCTTCCTCTTCCTCCTTATTCCTAGTTTTTCCTTCTTTCTTTCTTCTTCCCTCTTTCTTCCTTCCTCCTAGTTCCTGCTTCTTCCTTTCTTCTTCCTTCCTACTTTTCTTCTTCCTTCCACTTACTCGTTCTTCCTACTTCTTCCGCCTCCTCCTTCCTTTTCCTCATTCTTCCTTCTTCTTCTTTCTTCTTGATTCTTCCTTCTTTCTTCTGCCATCTTTTTTCCTTCTCCTTCCTCCTTCCCTTTTCCTCCTTCTGCTTCCTTCTATTTTCCTTCATTCTTCTTCTGTCTTCTCTTTCCAAACTTCTTTTATTTCTTTCTTCTTTTCTTCTTCCTCCTTCCTCCATCTTCTTTTTTTCCTTCTTTTGCCTTCTTCTTCCTTCCTTCTTCCTTTTTCCTTTCTCTCCTTCTGCTTCCTTCTTCCTTTGTTCTTCTTCTGTCTTCTCCTGCCAAACTTCTTATTTCTTTCTTCTTCCTTCTTCTTCCTATTTCTTCTCCTCTTCCTCCTTCATTTTTTCTTCTTTCTTCTTCCTCCTTCTTCCTTTCTCTTTCACCTTCCTTCTGCTTCCTTCTCCATTCATCTTCCTCCTTCTTTGCCCTTTGCTGTGCACAGTACCAATAACATTCGATAAGACGTGTGTTTATTGTATATTGAAATATATTTTTTCTTACTTCATCTCTTATGTAAACTGTTTCAAACCGATGGCCTGAAGAAGCGGCACGAAACTGTGTCACACGTAGACGAGGCGATAGAAGCATTTTTTGTCTAGAACATTAATGTGACCCTTGTGATGTATTTTTCTACTGAATTGTAAATATTTTGTATAACAAAGTGGATATTTTTATGTAATATTTAGTTTTCTATAATGCTGTAAGGTATAATCAAAGTCCCATTCTTCCCGATTTTCTGTACAACATCGTGCAATTATTATAGGATGATACCTATCAGTGTTAATGTGATCACTACAGTATTGAATTGGGCCTTCACTTTTTAATACATGCCTTTAAAATGCCGCCAAGGAGAGATTCCGCTACAGTTCCAACAGATTCCTATCCACCTTACTAACCGTTACGTATCTGCCACATTCCCTTTGTCCTCCTCCTCTCTGTGTCCTCCATCCCTCTGTCCTCAATTCCTCCACTGACCTCCCTCAGTGGCCTCCATCCCTCTCTGCCAATTCCCAACCTCCACTCAGTGTCCTCCACCCCTCTCTGCCAATTCCTCCACCTCCATTCAATGTCCTCCACCCCCTCTCTGCCAATCCCTCCAGTGCCTCCACCCCTCTCTGCCAATCCCCTCCAATCCCTCCACTCAGTGTCCTCCACCCTCTCTGCCAATCCCTCCACTGGCCTCCACTCATTGTCCTCCACCCTCTCTGCCAATCCCTCCACTGGCCTCCACTCAGTGTCCTCCACCCCTCTCTGCCAATCCCTCCCCTGGCACTATTCAGTGTCCTCCACCCCTCTCTGCCAATCCCTCCACTCATTCAGTGTCCTCCACCCCTCTCTGCCAATCCCTCCATTGGCCTCCACTCAGTGTCCTCCACCCCTCTCTGCCAATCCCTCCCCTGGTCCTATTCATTGTCCTCCACCTCCTCTCTGCCAATCCCTCCACTGGCCTCCATTCAGTGTCCTCCACCCCTCTCTGCCAATCCCTCCATTGGCCTCCATTCAGTGTCCTCCACCCCTCTCTGCCAATCCCTCCACTGGCCTCCATTCAGTGTCCTCCACCCCTCTCTGCCAATCCCTCCACTGGCCTCCATTCAGTGTCCTCCACCCCTCTCTGCCAATCCCTCCACTGGCCTCCATTCAGTGTCCTCCACCCCTCTCTGCCAATCCCTCCACTGACCTCCAATCAGTGTCCTCCACCCCTCTCTGCCAATCCCTCCACTGGCTTCCCATTGCCCAACGGGATAAAATTCAAAACATTAACAATAACATATAAAGCCATTTATAACTCTGCCCAAAATTACATCACCGATCTTGTCTCCAAATATTACCCAAATCATCCTCTCCGCTCCTCCAACGACCTCCTGCTCTCCAGCTTCTTTTTTCTTCTCTCATGCTCATCTCCAAGACTTCTCCAGAGACTCTCCCACCTATGGAGCTCTCTACCCCAATCTATCCGACTATCGCCTACTCTGCCCACTTTTAGATGATCTCTGAAAACCGATCTCCTCAGGGAAGCCTATCCTGCCCTCAGCTAATAATGGAATCTTCTATTCCTCCTACCACTCCATCCCCCACAGTTACTACCTTTTGTACCACTAGCCCCTCCCTCCTAGATTGTAAGCTCCCAGGATCAGCCCTCCCTCCTAGATTGTAAGCTCCCAGTATCAGCCCCTCCTAGATTGTAAGCTCCCAGTAAGCCCCCTCCCTCCTAGATTGTAAGCTCCCAGGATCAGCCCCTCCCTCCTAGATTGTAAGCTCCCAGGATCAGCCCCTCCCTCCTAGATTGTAAGCTCCCAGGATCAGGGCCCTCCTATCCCTCTTGTATTGATCAGTATTGTTGCTGTATTGTCTCCCTTATATTGTAAAGTGCTGAGCAAACTGTTGGCGCCATAAATCCTGTATAATAATAATAATATCCACCTTGCTGACGTCTACACGAATCTCTCACTGTTCCGCCAACTCATGGGGCCCCCGGGCAATAGGGGATCATGGGGCCCCTGTGTCCTCACCTACACCCAAAAAAACCTATGAAAAAGCCAATAAAAAGGTACCAGGGGCATCTCACGGGGCCCCCTACTGACCCCGGGCCCTCGGGCAGTGCCCGAGTGCTCGAATGGTCAGTCCACCCCTGCGCCATCGTCACTATTAATTCAAAGCTTACTTTCCTTCTCCAGTGTAAAGCTAAAATAATACAAGCTGGAAATGTAAGCAAGGCGGGGGATGGCGGCAACTTGTCCTCAAGCTCTGTGCAGAGTCCTGAGGAAACCAGCCAGCCAATTACCACAGACTTCAGCTCCCGTCTGCAAACCGATACCTAGAAATTGGAAACGTATCGGCAACCAGAAGATCCTGAGATCCGGGTCACTTCTAACAACATTACATTTCCAATGATTCCTGTAACAATGTTATATATTGTATCTTTTTTTTTATTATATTTTTTTTCAAATGTAGGTTTTCTTTTAAAAAAAAGGAAAAGTTACACATGTTTGTCTTACATAATTTTCTTTTCTCTGCGAACACCAAATCTTTTAGCAGTTGCTAAGGAACGCGATGCACACAATACAGCTCTTATCTGTCTGCGATGCATCGCGCTCGGCGTCTATTAATAACTATGAAAACCTCCATTTCTTCTTCTGCGATTTTCCAGCAAAACAAGTGTTTTTTTTAATATATATATATATTTACATTCTGATATTTGCTGCTCTCCTGATTGCTTAGCGTTGGGGTCAATGTTTGATATTTCACTTGCTTTTAGTTAATGCTAATATTATTATTTCTATGATATACTTTTGTTTGTTTCTTGTCTGGCGCATTAAAAATAACACAAAAGGGATGGTTGTCGGCGCGGGCTCCAGTCCATGCGCTGCGTCTCCCTGCGTTTTTAGAGCTCTCCCTACTGGGACGCTGCTTCTTCCTGCGTTTTTAGAGTTCTCCCTACTGGGGCCCTGCGTCTTCCCTGGCATTTTTAGAGCTCTCCCTACTGGGGCGCTGCATCTCCCAGCGTTTTTAGAGCTCTCCCTACTGGGGGCGCTGCGTTTTTTTTCCTGCTGCTTCTTTTTTACAGCTCTCAATACTGGGGCGCTGCGTCTCCCAGCGTTTTTAGAGCTCTCCCTACTGGGGCTGGCGTCCTCCCTGCGTCTCCCTGCATTTTTAGAGCTCTCCCTACTGGGGCGCTGCGTCTCCCTGCGTTTTTAGAGCTCTCCCTACTGGGGCGCTGCTTCTTCCTGCATTTTTACAGCTCTCAATACTGGGGCGCTGCGTCTCCCAGCAATTTTAGAGCTCTCCCTACTGGGGTGCTGCGTCTCCCTGCGTTTTTAGAGCTCTCCCTACTGGGGCCCTGCGTCGTCTTCCTGCGTTTTTAGAGCTCTCCCTACTGGGGCGCTGCATCTTCTGGCGTTTTTAGAGCTCTCCCTACTGGGGTGCTGCGTCTCCCTGCATTTTTAGAGCTCTTCCTACTGGGGCGCTGCTTCTTCCTGCGTTTTTAGAGCTCTCCCTACTGGGGCGCTGCTTCTTCCTGCGTTTTTAGAGCTCTCCCTACTGGGGCGCTGCATCTTCCTGCGTTTTTTAGAGCTCTCCCTACTGGGGGCGCTTCCTGCGTTTTTAGAGCTCTCCTACTGGGGCGCTGCATCTTCTGGCGTTTTTAGAGCTCTCCCTACTGGGGTGCTGGTCTCCCTGCATTTTTTTTAGAGCTCTCCTACTGGGGCGCTGCTTCTTCCTGTGTTTTTAGAGCTCTCCCTACTGGGGCGCTGCTTCTTCCTGCGTTTTTAGAGCTCTCCCTACTGGGGCGCTGCGTCTTCCTGCATTTTTAGAGCTCTCCCTACTGGGGCGCTGCTTCTTCCTGCGTTTTTAGAGCTCTTCCTACTGGGTGCGCTGCGTCTTCCGGCGTTTTTTTTAGAGCTCTCCCTACTGGGTGTGCTGCGTCTTCCGGCGTTTTTAGAGCTCTCCCTACTGGGGCGCTGCATCTTCCGGCATTTTTAGAGCTCTCCCTACTGGGGCGCTGCATCTTCCTGCGTTTTTAGAGCTCTCCCTACTGGGGTGCTGCGTCTTCCTGCGTTTTTAGAGCTCTCCCTACTGGGGCGCTGCGTCTTCCTGCGTTTTTAGAGCTCTCCCTACTAGGGGTGCGCTGCATCTCCCTGCGTTTTTAGAGTTCTCCCTACTGGGGCGCTGTGTCTTCCCTGCATTTTTAGAGCTCTTCCTACTGGGTGCGCTGCGTCTCCCTGCGTTTTTGGAGCTCTCCCTACTGGGGCGCTGTGTCTCCTGCGTTTTTAGAGCTCTTCCTACTGGGGGGATGCATGTAACAAAAATCAAAATTGTATCGCCACATCGCTTTTAAAAACCTCAATATCGGACAATTTTACCCCTTCCTGCCAAGGCCAGTTTTCAGATTTCAGCGCTGTCACACCTTGAATGACAATTGCGCGGTCATGCAACACTGCACCCGTATGAAATTGTTATCTTTTTTTTTTTTTTTTTTCACACAAATAGAGTTTTCTTTTGGTGGTATTTAATCAGCATTGGAGTATTTTATTTGTTTGCCATATAAATGAAAAAAGACTGAAAATTGTGAAAAAAAAAACAAATTTTTCTTCCTATTATTACATTTTACAAATAAATAATCTTTCCTCATAAATTTAGGAAATGTATTCGGTTACAATTCTTTGGTGGAAAAAAAAAAAAACAAATCTGTGTATATTATGTAGTCTGTGTGAAAGGGATGAAGTTTCCACACTCTGGGATGTATATCTGAAAATTGATCAATCCTGATGTACTGGCAGCCGATCTCACTTCTGGAGGCACTAAAATGTCAGGACGGTACAAAGTCCCCCCGCCCCCCCAAATGCCAGGACAGTACAAATCCCCCCAAATGTCAGGACAGTACAAATCCCCCCAAATGTCAGGATGGTACAAATCCCCCCAAATGCCAGGACAGTACAAATCCCCCCAAATGTCAGGACGGTACAAATCCCCCCAAATGTCAGGATGGTACAAATCCCCCCAAATGTCAGGATGGTACAAATCCCCCCAAATGTCAGGACGGTACAAATCCCCCCAAATGTCAGGATGGTACAAATCCCCCCAAATGTCAGGACGGTACAAATCCCCCCATATGTCAAGACAGTACAAACACCCCCCAAATGTCAAGACAGTACAAATCCCCCCCCCAAATGTCAGGACAGTACAAATCCCCCCCCAAATGTCAGGACAGTACAAACCCCCCCAAATGTCAGGACAGTACAAATCCCCCCAAATGTCAGGACAGTACAAATCCCCCCCCAAATGTCAAAACAGTACAAATCCCCCCAAATGTCAGGATGGTACAAATACCCTCCAAATGTCAGGATGGTACAAATCCCCCCCAAATGTCAAGACAGTACAAATCCCCCCCAAATGTCAGGACGGTACAAATCCCCCCAAATGTCAGGACCATACAAATCCCCCCAAAATGTCAGGACGGTAGAAATCCCCCCAAATGTCAAGACAGTAAAAATCCCCCCAAATGTCAGGACCATACAAATCCCCCCAAATGTCAGGACGGTACAAATTCCCCCAAATGTCAGGACAGTACAAATCCCCCCAAATGTCAGGACGGTACAAATCCCCCCAAATGTCAGGACCATACAAACCCCCCAAAATGTCAGGACAGTACAAATCCCCCCAAATGTCAAGACAGTAAAAATCCCCCCAAATGTCAGGACCATACAAATCCCCCCCAAATGTCAGGACGGTACAAATCCCCCCCAAATGTCAGGACGGTACAAATCCCCCCAAAATGTCAGGACAGTACAAATCCCCCCAAATGTCAGGACGGTACAAATCCCCTCCCAAATGTCAGGACGGTACAAATCCCCCCCCAAATGTCAAGACAGTAAAAATCCCCCCAAATGTCAGGACCATACAAATCCCCCCAAATGTCAGGACGGTACAAATCCCCCCCCCAAATGTCAGGACAGTACAAATCCCCCCAAATGTCAGGACAGTAAAAATACCTGCCAAATGTCAGGACCATACAAATCCCCCCACCCCTCTCTGCCAATCCCTCCACTGGTACAAATCCCCCCCAAATGTCAGGAC